CCTCTTTAGCAGGGCTGGGGGGGGGGCATGGGAATAAGGGGCATCAGTAGGGCTGGGGGGATTGTGGGGAGGAGTAAGGGGCACCAGTAGGCCGGGGGAACTATGTGGGGAGTGGGGCATGGCAGGGCTGTGGCTTGGGAGTAAGGGGCTGGACATGAATCCTGGTGAGCTAAGGGGACAGGGGGAGCTCTGATTTTTCATAATAAAAATCCCAAAATCAAATAACAAAATGTATAGGTATTTAGAATTTATTTCATTATAGTGATTGAGACACTGGTAGGCTTCCAAACTGGTTTAAAATTGTAAATATATCAAGAAAACATTGTGTTCAACTGATACATATATATATGTATATATATTTTTCATTTTAAGAATGGAATTGGAGGATTTTATCACAGAATTTGTGATCTTTTATCAGGGAAAACCAGGATCCCTGCTAATGATCCCGAGTGCCTCAGTTTTTGGGTGTGTACTTTGAAGAGGCCCCAGTTTCAGCCTGTTCTAAACATCAAGCTCCTCTGAGGCATCTCAAGGTGGGTCTCTAAAACATGTGACACTCAAAATCTGAAGATTCTAAGATCTACTATGCCTTTAAAAAAGTTTACATTTTTATCTTATTAAAAGAAACCCTGCTTTTGTATCAATTACTATCAGACCTAAATTGAACAGAAGAACATAATAATTACTCAGGGATAGGAAATAAAAATACTGCCACTTGGTTACAGTTTTGTTGTCGGGTCCACAAATATATCCCAACTACCTTATCCTTCTTGATCATTGTTTAAAATGTATAAATTTATGAACTATGAATATTAATGACCTAAATTAATTATTAATAGGGGTAGGGAGAATGCTCAGATCCCTGGCACTATCTCCAGGGCTCACTGGTGGAAGACATTAGGATCCTCTCTGTAAACTAGCTATTTTTCATTCACAGCATGGGTGCTCAACCTCCAGCCTGCAGGACAAATACAGTCTCTGTGACCATTGTATCCAGTCCATGGGGTTCTCCATAGGCCACAAAATTTGACTGCAGGGGAGTAGTGGCACTGCCACCCCTCCACCCCCGCCAGATTCCCAAACCTCAAACCCCAAGCCCCAAGCAGAAGGTTGGGGCTGAGCCACAATGCCTCCCCCACCAGCCAGATCCAGGCCGGGCCATGCCCCCTATCCTGCCACAGGTGGATGGGGGCTGGGCCAAGCCCCCTTCTCCACATAGCTGGACTGGCGCTGGGCTATACCCCCTCTCCCTTGTGGCTGGATTGGGGCTGGGCCACACTGCTCTCCCCTGCAGGACTGGGCTGTACCCCCGCCCTCCACACAGCTGAATAGGACCCTGCTACAACTGTCCTGGGCACTGGATAGGGACCACTGACTGGATCTGGCTAGAAGGCTGACTGAGCACTGGCCATCTCTCCTGCCAGCGAAAAAGTTGAGCACCACTGATTCACAGTACTTCTAGACCTCCCAAATTGAGGATAAGTGAGAAAACAGAGCTGGAAATGGAATCTAGGTTTGAAACTATTGTGCAGTTACTCTTGACATTTCACAGATTAGCTGCCAATGGTAATAGAAGGATAGGTTGCCACATCTTTACCCTGCCACACAGGAGAGGGAAACAGCAGCTACTTGCCTGGTATTCCCACATAGAACAAATGGACAGGGAGAGGGCAGAGAGGAATAAGGTATGGAAGAGGCCCTGGGTGCATCCCCGAGCCTTCCCAGAGGGTAAGATTTCCTGGCTGGGTACATGTTGTAGAGTAAGTTGTCCTGTAGAAAAGAGTGTAGTAACTCACTTTCCCCATCCTGGGCAAGAGTGGAGAACAGGAGGAATTCTCAGTTCATTCTCTGTGCTGCCCCTGCAGAGTTGCACTTATACAGTCTGTAAGCAGTCTGTAAAGTTACTCCAGTCTGAAATGAACATAACCATGTAGGCCTCTTGGACGGAGAGGATAAACAAGGAAAAATGATGTTGGCAATTCAGGAAGGGTAGTGGGATTAATGGTAAACTTTAGACTTTGATCCAAAAGTTACATTTGTTATTATAACAAATTACTCACGTGGCTGATACTTGTTCCAGTTTGTATAGCTCACAGGCTGATACTTTCCATCTGTCATTAGCCAAGAGTATTCTCCAGTATTGTTAAGGTCTTGTAGTCCTATCCAAAAATAAGTTTCCTCAGTTTTCACCATTCCATAGATTATACTGTTGATAAAAGCTTGTTCAAACCTTTAAAAATGATCAGGATAAAAATCTTGTTATAGTAAGATATCCTAATCCATATCTAAGTTACAAATTAATTAAAGAAGATGAGAAAAATACTCAGGAGCTTATATGTATTAAGAAACATCTATAGTTACTGCTAGTCGTATATGGATGATATTAGAAGAATCTCCCCATTCCTGAGAAGTTCAAAGGATCGGAGAGACAGCACAGGGGAAAAAAAGAAATATTGGCACAGAAATATTTATTCTTTGGACACTGAATAGTTAATATTGAATAGTTAATTCTGAATGACCTACTGTAACAGCAGTTCTGATATCTGCAAAAGGAAAGTGATTTTCCTCATTTTAGCATTTTGAAGATATTCCACAGAATATTTAAATATTTAAACTATATACCACTGTAAAAGTTATATATAGCCCTGGTTTTGCTATGTAAATACTATTCATTCAGTTATTATTGGTACTACATTATACAAATACATGCATTAACTTAGAAACAAAATTAATTAGCTTCCTGTGAAATTATATCCAGCACACTGAGGCCTCAGTTTCACAAAGACTTAATGCAAACTTAACTTCACACACTGCAGACAGAAATACTAACTTCTATCTAAATGATCATAATGTGTAAAGTTAAACACATGGGTATCTTTTCAGGATTAGGACCTACATATCTAATTCACCTACATTTTTTTGTCCATCTAATATCTAATTTCTTTTTTAAAATATAATTTTACACTTGTATAATTTTAATTTTACACCTGTTCTGCCCATCTTCCCATACACCAGTCCTCTTTCTTACAAACAAGTTCTTTAACACTATTTAATTATTTAATTTAGAATATTTTTTGGCATCTTCTAAGCATGATTTATTCTGAAGAAAAGCACTTGTACTTGTCCTACAAGGACGAAGACCCTAAACAGGGAAATGCAATGTTAACAATCACTTTCTCAGAAAGTTCAATATGTCAACTATAAACAAATAACTAAAACAATGATAAATGATGTATCATGAGGAATAATACTACCCTAGTGCCTTCTGTGAGGTACAAAGTGCCCACAACCTGGATGATGCTAATAAGAGTTGTAGATGCTCACTGGATGCATCTATATAAGACACTTTACTGTACATTAGATTAACCTAATGTACAGTAAAGCATCACTGTTTTCATGTGCACTGGACTTACCGAGCATCAGTCTAATGCGTTGTTTGCTAGTGCCAACACACAGAAACTAGATAAACAGCATATTAGGTAATGTGCAGTAGCACAGTTTTGCTCCGAGGCAGCAGGGGGTCACTGCTGCCTGCCTAAGCCCCAGTGCTGGGAGAGATGTGCTAGCTGCAGAGGCAGCTGTCTCCTGCCCCTGTGCACATCGGGACCTGGGTCCCTGCAGCTGGCACAGCTCTCCTGGCCCTGTGTGCATTGGGTGATATGCACCAGGCCAGGAGACAGCTGCACCTGCAGCCGGCAATACTCTCCTGGTTTCATGCACATTGGAACCAGCCCCCATACTCCCTGCCAGCCCCCAGGCTGGCATCCAGTGGAGCCTGGTGCTCCCCCTAGCCGTTGCATGGGGGCAGAGCAGGGCAGGAGCAGCCTTGGACTGCGCTGCTCCCACTGGGTGTGTATCTGCGCCCAATAGAGCGCGCGTGTAGATGCATTCCCAGCCACATCTTACTGTGTCTTATTTTACTGAGAAGTAACCTCACTGCAAATTAATTGCATGTGTAGATGCAACCACTGACTGTTGAAACTTAACCTGTCTCCTCATAATGTGAATTACACTTTTACTAAGATATCCATTGCATATTCATAGGGTGACAGTAAGAGACCTACAAGCTAAATTCCTATGAACTTAACACTTTGATTTTAAAATCAGTGCTTTGGACAACTATGTTCTTATTCTTGTTTAGGATTAGCAAGGACCACCTGAAAGGATTTTGTTTCTTCATCCCACAAATAATGTAGGAATCTGTCCTTTCCACAAAACTAGTTATCATACAACTGGCTTCTAAATGTAACTGGCCATGTCCACATGAGATGCTTACTGCACAGTAGCTCGTTACTACTGCACAGTAGCATTGCTGGGCACAAAGCTACTGTGCAGTAAGCATCACTAGGTAACAGTCCCAGGATGCTACTGTGTAGGTTACTGCACAGTCATTTAGTACTTGGTTATGCAAGTACTAAATGACTGTGCAGTAACAATAGTGCAGTGGGCGTTTCGTGTAGATGAGCCCACTGTGTTATACCTGGCTGTTTCCCCAATTCAAAAGTTTTCTTTGCACTGTAATCTCTTCCATAGTCTCCTTTCCACAATGGAACAGCTAGGCGGTTCTGTAAATTCTATTTATTTTATTCCATAACACTATTATCTCAGGACATTCGCAACATGTATGCAGAAAGGTCACTACTCCTTCACAACCAAGTTCAAATTGATTTACGGTTTCTAGATACAATATCTGGACTATGACCAAAGTAAATCTACTACAGTTTGACCAAAGGCAAACAGGTCTTTTGACCATAACAAATACAGGATATGAATAAATGCATTAATATTTGGTTAGAAAGTTCATATATTTAAATATTTTATCACATACAATAAAATAATATGCAAAAGACAATTGTTACACATTTTCTGTATTTGAGCAGTACTCATATAGAGGTTCATCTAGAAAGCAGCATCACACTCCAGTCCTAATTCAACAAAATGTTGAAGCATGTACTTAACTTTAAGGATAAGAGTAATTATACTGTAGTCAAGAATATATTGCTGCTCATTCCTAGCATGAAACCAGAGTGCTAAGCACCTTGTCAGGTAAAGGTCTGAGGGTCTCCATCTTTAAAAATACTCTCAACTCCCATTGATAAAGGCATCCATCCATATTTAAGACAATAGAAAGGTAGCAAGTACACTAGGGCTAGATATAGACATTCAAAAATCCAGAAGTGGAATCAATCAAACTTACGAAGGTTTCTCTGAGAGATTTCTCTGCAGAGATTAGATCGGGAGCAAACAGAACACACATTAACCCTTTGGTTGGATGGGGCATGCATATGACTGCACTGGCAGAAGCCAGAAGGCGGGGGGCACTCCTGCACGCCTTCCAGAGTAGCCTCTCTCCCCACCCCTGCCCTGTTCAGCAGTGGCTGTCAGCAGCAGTGCAGGGAGGGACATCCCCCACCCCAGCAGTGCTTGCTTGGGTCTACGTGTGCCTGGGCTGGCCTCTGCTCCCCTCCCTGTGTTGCTGTCACATGGCTCTCAGTCCTGGCTCCTGCTGTCTCTGTGACAACCCAGGGTTGGGCCTGGCCCAGCACTCAGCTGGAGCAGACAAGTGTGGGCCAATGTTAGCCTGCCCACCCTGTGAGGGCAGGTTAGTGGGGACCCACAAAACAGCCTGGGATGCTGAGGGATTGTGATCTAACTTGAGTTGGGAGGGGATCTGGGACAGAAGTTCGATAGACCAGTCTAAACTAAACTGATTAAATCTGACACTACATGCATCCAGGTTCGATTGGGTTCTGCCATTTTTAAATCAGTCTGTGAGTGCTGAACTCCTGTTCTGTTACAGGTTTAGACTGGTTTCCAATCACTTATACTGATTTATGTGTAAAGTCTGTACCTAGCCAAAGAGGCAGAAAAGGACACAAAAACAGTGATCAGAATATTGATGTCTTACATTTACAGGAATAATACACACCAATTTAGAGGCCAGCTACTATCTTTTTTCATCCTAGTTAACTTTTAGAATCAATTTTCAAAGAGAGTAAGAAGCCAGATTACAGGCCTGCCATTGTCACATTTGTCCTCTGACTCCAAGCTACTTCTTTACAACAAAGGGAGACCTGTTAGCATTGGACTTTTCACACAACTAATTATGATGGAAAGAATAAAGATATTATATTTGTAGTAAAATAACAAGCCTACGACCCCACTTATTTCATTTGTATCCATGAGCCATTAACTAGTAGTATATCCACAACAGCATACTTTGTTAATGATTTAATTGATTGGTGAATACCAACTTATTTTTCTTATCTTCCCTCACTGGCTGTAAAGAAACTATAGGTGGTTGAAACTTTTCCATTAAAATAGTTTTCAGTGGAAAATTGGCTCCAAAATTAAAAAATAAATTTTCAGACAAAATTGAACAGTTTCCTAGGAGCTGTCATCTAACCAAAGAGCATGGCCCTGAAAGGGAACTGTAGCCTAAGGAAGCCATACAACAGTTGCCATGAAACATAATACTTCCAGAATTAACATAGTTTAGCATTTATTTTTTCATGAAAACCTTGGGATTTACCATAGCAAAACAAAACTTATCAGCTGTAATAGAAACTGAGAATTTCTTCCCAATAGTCACCATAGTGACACAGGTAAAAAAATGTGCACATGAATCCTTAATTTGGGAAATCTATACACATCTCAATTTGAATAGAAGCACACTTTATGGACTGCAGTATGGATCCAGGCAGTAGCTCAGGCAGAAACATGCTCAGAGAAAACATCAGGTATTTGAACATCTGCAATGATGAAAGCCTGCTATTGACATTGAATACTAAGTAAACAGAAGCAAGGAAGAGATGATAGAGAACTGAATTCACAAAATTACATTAAACAACCATTTATAAAGTTTAAATATAAAAATCTAAATTTATTAACAACATTACTAGCTAAACCTTTAAAGATTCATAGGCTGGAGACAGTGTAAATCTGTATAGGAAGCATTCAAGTTTCTGGACTCCTGCACACTTGAATTAAAGTGCCAGTTAGACAGACAGACAGACAGACAGACAGACAGATAGCAAGTCAGTAACTGCTGTCTATTAAACTTCATCCTGACTCAGGAAGTAAACATAATGACAAAATGAACATTTGATTTTTGTGAACATTAGTAATTCATTCCAGTTTTAAAGCAAGCTTGCTTATAAATGATAATCTTTTTCCTTACACAGAACTTTTTATAGGTAGAAGAGCTTTTGCTAGTAGTACTTTGCACTAATAGAATTAAGTACCTGTTTTTTACTGTTAGAAGTGTAGGCGGGCAGTAATAACCACTGGAAGCATGTTCAAAACTTCGTGGGGTATTGTCGATTTTATAACAAAATCCACCATGTCTTTCCCATCCCTTTAAAATAAACATTATTTTTATGCATTATTGTATACAGTATAAATATAAATATATATACAATTAGGTTGGCCGTCAAGAAACTGACAGCCTCCTGGTACTTTTACATTTTATCCCAATTCATGTTGTTATCTTCCATTTCTCTTTCTGCTCTGGTGAGGTCCTTGTCACTATAGCTGGATGACAGTCTGATGATCTGGGTTTCAGCAGCCCTATCATTCATAGCATTGCTATGAAACTATTCAAGTCATAATCTGGAGGCATGTTTGTACAGATTTTAAATAGATCAAAATATATAAAAAAGAAAAAGAGCTTGAACAGAGATGAAACATGACGAATATCACAGCTCACTTTGTAAAAATGAGAAATTTATGTAAGTTAGTTAAATATGTGTGTGAGCATGTACTTATGTTTTGGGAAAGTTCAATCAGAATCCCAAATTGAATCCAGACTTCAGAATTGGAGTCTAATGGGCCCAACCTGAAATACCAAGAGTGAAATTCAAGCCTGACTGAAGTCAGCAAGATTTCTGCCATTGATTCCAGCAAACCAGTATTTCACTTTAGTCTTAAAATACATAAACTTTGAGGAAGGCAATGACCTTGCATACATCTAATTCTTAACAGCCATCATTGACTTTATTCTTTTCCTTCCTCCAGAAAGCCTCCTTACACACCAGGTCACCAGAAGTTTGCTTGTCACTATTCTGGTAGGAAAAGAGAGGAAACAAATACCACTGAAGAGAAAATATTTTCTGCAGTTGTCTGAGGGGCACAATTGTTGCTACCCATAAGATTCAGAGACAGCCTCTGAGATGTATGAAAGGACGTGGTAACACCTTTCCTGACTAGCAGCAGCTTAACATAAAGGCTGTGAAAAGGCTGATTTCAGTCTTCAGACAAACAGCAACCAAAAAGCAAGGGCCTGACAGAGGTCATGCTGTAGAAGCTGGATGCACAGGCCCGAGAATAGTGGAATCAAACCTCCAGGCACATCTAATACAAAGCACTAGGACTAGGGCATAGTTATATTTGCATTAACTCCAATTCTCTTTCCACCATAGCCTAAATATAGGAAACATTAAGTGCTGGGTAGTTCACATAAGCCAGGGTTTTGAAAGCTGTGCTCTGATATTTGTTCTTCTGATTTCATGCCAAATAAGGTTACTTTTCTTTTAGCTGAAGTTTTTATTTCTTCAAAGGCAAATGCTACATCTCTACTTTTGTAGAACAGTTTCCCTTACAGGGAAGTGTAGGAGAAAACTGCTTAGATTTTGTTTAAATTTGTTTCCAGTCAGGTCCAAAATTAGCTCTATATGTTATAAGCATGAAAAAAAATCATTTAAATGGGAACAGAAGGAGAATATTAGCAGGCAATAAAAAAGTTAATTTTTTTTAAGAGTAAATTTAGCTGGATTTGATATTCCTACTTGTACAGAGTGCAATCATGGAACAAAATCATTTCTGTTGCACTCCAGAGAAAATGGTTTATTTTTGTACGTTGTAGTTCACATATGTAATCATATGTTTTTTCTAATAACTTGAAATGTTAACAACAGCTAAAAACTTACAGTCATTTTTTTTTCTGTTTTTAATCAATACAAATGGACAATGCCATTATTTTAGAGGTGGGGAAGTTTGTTAAGTTACAGAAAGACCACAGAAAGACCCTTTATTTTCTCTCTCTCTCTCTCAGACTCACTGAAAAATGGTTCAGGATGGTTTACAAACAAATATTTCAACTGAGGCAGCTAAAATACTTGAAACATGAATAGCTTGTGCAGGAAGCATGTGCTTGTTTTTATTACTGCTACTTTATTATGATGCACATAGGAACAAGATTAATAATTTATGTTCTGTTATCTGCCTAACTTGCTCTTGGAATATCAATTTACTGACTCTGTTTTAGGGATGCATGCCAGGACATTTAGATACCTGTCTCTTTTGGCACAAATGTTTCATAATTCTTGTTGGCTTATAGCTGTGGTAACTCATTAATGATAACTTATATCAAAACTGTAGAATACACATTGCCTGTCAAACTCAACAACATTGGTATTAAAAGGTTGCAGCTGTTTCAAACTGAAGGCAGAATGTTTTTTCAACACTACCAACAATCCCAGCACTGACCTTTTACATGGCAAAACAAACAATTTGCGATCTACCTCTTATCATTATTTCCATTTCCTCTTTTTAAATACAGTATCTTCTCATTTCCTTGGATGTTTTAAAGAAAAAATTATACTCCAATAGTGAAGGAAAAAATAAATGAAAGACAGTCTCACTGTTACACAGTTATGTGTACAGCTGACCAAGTGATACATCCTGCCCCTGGGGCAGGCGGCTGGACTCGATAATTTTCCAAGGTCTCTTCCAGCCCTAATGTCTATGAAATCTATGAATCCTCATTATCTGCCACTCCTCTAACCTTTTTCATTGGCAAACTTGGTACCGAAAAGTCTGATATGGTTTTTTCTGTATTAATCATATGCCACAAAGCAGTATTTAAGTTCTTAAAACAAGTATAATAACTACACTACCTGGATCTAAATGATCAAACACAAAGAAACAAATATAATCTCTCCTCTGTACATTTTAGTGCTACATATATGGAAAGCAGAGCTATTTCCATAGCCCTTAGCATTTCCATAGGATAAACACTACTTCTGCAAAATGTTTGGAAAATGAAGCAAAGCAATACAGTTTTAAAAATCTACAAACACAATTTAATGACGACTAAAGAAAAACAAAGTGGAGGAGGAAGGGAGAAACTGACAAAAATTTCTGAAGGAGTGATGCATTTGATCAATGGTGGCAATTATTATCAAGAGCTTTTCTTCTGTCCAACTTCAGGGCTCATTTCAGGAAGCACTAAGACTATTCAGTCATTTTTAGTTTAATTCAAGACAACAAAAATAATGACTGAATGATAAAGCATGTGTTTATGTCCTATTGACATCAACATGACATGCACCTAAGCTTAAAGTATGTGCATAACTGACATCATGAATGGGGTTGGCATCCAGAAAGACAGAGAAGATGACTAGCACAAGGTTCTGCTTGCTTTTCTATTTCTTTTATTATTTTATTTCTTTATTTACTTATTTTCCTAAATTACTTCCTTTAGCACTTTGAATATTATCATTCCTGCGCCTTTTTTACTCCTTCTGGCTGGCATCCAGCTATAGCAGGAAACAGAATTATATTAGTGTCATTTTATCTCAGTCATGGAAGTTGGGAAAGCAGTTGTATAGGAAGAGTCAAATTCTGTCCTAGAGAAAAAATGTATAAATATTTTTGATGAAATTACAGGAAATGGGATTGACCTTGACTATGCAAAAGCTAGAGTTGGACATGACAATACTGTAGTAACATACTAGGCATGTCTACAAAAGACGCTTTACTGCGCAGTAGAGCAAATGCAAGTAGCAAATTAACTGCTGAGTAATTACTGTGCAGTAAGGCACTGTAGACAGCTGGCCAGGAGTAAATTTGCTCCTGCTCAGCCAGGCAGCAGGTGGTGGGAGATTGCTCTCTGCCCCCCGGGATCTTTCCGCTGCCAGGGTGGGCTGCACCACCAGAGCCCAGGCGGGGACAATGTCCTCCTACCCCAGCAACAGGGAGCTCCCAGCCCCCGCTCCACAATTGTGGAGAGAGTTCCTGCATAGAGAAAGTTCCCTGGCTAGCCTGGAGCTGGCAGGGACTTGCTCCAAACTGGGACAGTTCCCAGCCAGGCTCAGGCTACACAGGGAAGTCTGCACATGCAGCCTAGAACTGGCTGGGGACTGTCCCATTTCAGGCTTCCCTGTGCAGCCTAGGGCTAACCAGGCACTGTCCCTGTCAAGGGCAGGCTGCAACCCTGCAGCTTTTTCACAGCCCTGTGCCCCAACTGAAAGAGCTGAGGGGAAGGGGCAGGTCACAGCCTCCTGTCTTGATCTGCTGGTGGGGCGGCTAGCAGTGAGCCCCCAGAATCCCTGCCCAACCAGAGGCTCACTGCTAGCTGCCCCACCAGCAGACTGGGGTAGGGGGCTGGGACCTGCCCCTCCTCTGAAGGTCTTTCCCAGCCCCCTGCACCCAATCAGGGAGCTGGGACTGGGAGCTCCTTACTGCTGGGCCAGGGAGACATTGTCCCTGCCCGAGCTCCACCACTGCACTTAACTTTCTTGTTTTAGCATACAGAAAGTTTGCATAAGGAAGTTGACCTTTGTTACAAAAAGATTTGCTCCCTGTTAACAGTTCAGTGATTAGAAAAACTAATAGTGGAGTTAGCAAAAAAATCACATAGCACATAGTGAATCTCAGGAAGGGAGAGGAAAAAGACATCCACTTCTGCAACTGCTGGCTAAGAATGCCTTGTAAGAACCACAATCAGTTGATGAGAAGTATAGAAGATTTTACATGCCAATCAGTCTGAAAAATAACCCAAACATCAGTAGAAGATAAAAAACTGGTAAGATTAGAAAGCTTTATAGAGACAAAATAACCATGCCAGAGGCTTAGACTCATTTACTGGGGCTAAACTATGGTTGGCCATCCTCCTCCTCTTTTCAGCATGTATGCTCAGTTATATACATACAGAGCCACACTGCACAGGGAGAGGGTTTGCACACTGTGTCTAAATGCCATAAATACTACATAGGTGCATCTACACATGCAATTAGTGTGCATTAGGGTTACTGCACAGTACCTTAAGGCACATTAACACGTGACCAGGAATGCATCTACATGTGCTCCTAGCAAAAGAAAATCTGCTCCTGACAGGAACAATTTAGTGCAGAGCTGCTCTGGCCCTGCTTTGTCCCCCTGCAGCAGTCAGGGGAGCTCCAGGCTCCCCCGGGGGGCTGACAGGAGGCACGTGGGTCAGGCCTGGGCTGGGGGTGGGGGAGGGGAGAAGCTGTCCCACTTCTGGTCAGCTCCCTCCATATTTGCTACTGTGCAGTAGCTACTGTGTAGTTGATCTAGTATCTATATTCCTTGGTACTAGGCAACTGCATATTAGCTTAATTTATCATGCAGTAAATGCTGCACATGTGTAGATGCTGATGCTTTACTGACTGGTAGATTAGTCCATTGTGCAGTAAAGGGTCTTGTGTAGACGCATCCCTTATGTGCCTGGGTAACTGCCATTTGGGCAGGTGAACTGAATCGGATTCTGCCCCTATTCACTTCTCTCTGGTTTAATTTACTCCACAGCTAACCCATCATCAGACATTTGGGTGTTTTAGAATATATTTATGTGAAATTTCCTGTCTTACTTTTTTCCCTATGTCACTGTCTTCAGCTGAAATTCTCCACAAATAAGTACTACAGAATTTGGAGCAAGTTATTTGTTATTGAATAAAATAAGAAGGAAAAGCTGACTACTTGTAACTTTAGTGAGATTCATACTGTTTTGGTAGTAGCAATTAGACAGAACATGCATGTATTCTTTACATTTTGTGAAATGTAAGGTTTTTAGTAACATGTTTGTCTGTTCTCTGGCAAATCTGAGAGACAAGTGGACGTCACATGCCTTTGAAAGACCGTACCTGTTGCAAGTCTATGTCAATTTAATGATTCTGCTTAATTAATTGCTGGTAATTGGTTATCTTCATAACCCCTTTTCTACTCTTTAAACATAAAAAGGGAATGGATTCTGATTAGATTACTAAACTCCACTTGAATCATACTTCTATATAACACTAAACACTTTAGAACCAGATGGTAAATTTTTAGTTGATACATTTTAGATTAGAGATTAGCTTAAGTGCAAGGCTGATACACACACATCCCAATGTTGAGGACTCCGGATCTTAATATCACAGTAAGCCTCTACTCAATAACAGTCAACACATTAATCCCAATTCAGAAAGTCCCTGAATTTTAACTGGATATAACAAAATATCAAATCATTTTGTAACTCAGAGTTTAAAAAGGATTGAACACTTATTTATGGTCCTAGATAAGTTATGCCCTCGCCATTTTTGTTTTATGAAAATGAAGGGAATGCTTCCCTATAAGTGTAGAAGTTAATTCTTCATATCAAAGAAACTGTTTTTTGCCCTGACATTCCACTCAAAACTATGAAAAACATGTGTAAGATAAAGCATCATGTAACAATCATTGTTTGCACAGATGGCCTCCAAAAGTATTGTGACTTTTGATCTAGAAAGACACAGGAATTTGGATCACAACTGCCAACAAGGCAATGAACCATAAAAGGAACCTACCAAAACTTTTAATCTTACATTAATCTTTTGTTTATGTATTTTAAAGCAAACAATAGATGTGAGACTCTTCCTAGGAAACCTGAAGTATATTTTTTTAATGTGAAAAACTAAACATATCAATTCTATACCAATATTTATAGATTTCCTATCACATTTCTTGAAGCTAAAAAAAAAGACTACATAAATTTACCTCTAGACACCCCGATTCCTTCTCAGAAGTGACATTTTCAAACTTGCCGGCTTTTTGACATAAGTAAAATAATCTGTCTTCACAATTTTTAATTTTCCAGTGTCCATCCTAGTAAAAAAATGTACATTATAATTGTGTTAAACAGTTTATTTTCCTGTTTGAGACACTAGTATATACAATAGCAACTGACAGCTACATTTTGCTCATCTGGGGAGCCTTCTCATTTACTTCTGTAACTATGTTCAATGGCCCATGATTAAGACAAAGAATTTGCCATAGAGGTGCACTGATACATTAGTCCGATATTGAATCGGTACTAATATAAAGAAAATTTGCCCATGGGCCTGATCTGGTTAACGGACAGGTCTTGCACCACTCATTCAGTCTGTGGGTCCAGATGATTTTAACTCATTTGTTTTAAAGGTTTTTGAAAACTGAGTCAGAATTTCCAATACTTTGCACTGTTTGTCGTCATTTACATCTAAGCAAAACAGAATAAAAATGTCTCTAAGCATCTTAAGTCTAATTTTATTTAAAAATGTATTCAGCTTCCAGATATTGGGCCTGATCTTCACTGTAAACCTGAGTAGGCCTTTATTTCTGTGGAGTTGCTCCCATGGATAAAAATTAATGGTATGACTGTTTTCGCAGGATTACACCCATTATTACCAACACTATATAGAACCTCTAAGAATTATACAGATCAGTGAATCTTCTGACAAAAGATGCTATTGATATAGTGTCATTAATGCACTTAAAAATAGTCTATGCTAATAAATTTATGCAGCATACAATTATTTTGAATTAGAAAATTGACAAGCATTTTTGCCAGCCTTGTTTGAATGCCATGAATTGTATTCTACCTGTATTGATTTTTCTTTTTTAGTATGTATGCAGGTATCTATCACCCTTAATCTCACATTTTCAGACATAGCTTCAACTTGGGCTTGCTTCTTCTAAAATCAATGGCAAAATTACCATTGACTTCAGGCAGAAGTGGGACTAAACCATTTATGCAGCTCCTTGGTATCAGTTTTTACAAGATGCTGCATAAACTCCTAAAACACTGAGAACTGAGTAACAAGAAGCTGGTTCACTGTTTCAAAATATTTCCATGAAGCTTTCATGTCAAGAAACTGAACATCATAAATTAGAATGTACTCTACATAGATTTAACATTATTTTCTCTTTGTTGTAAGGAAACTTGCTTCACACTGATTGTTGTCCTCTTCCATTTGGCAAGCACTGCACTTGTTCCCATTTCTTTAAGGGTCTTATCCCATTGCTTCTGTTTAGTTTGGGCATCTGTCACAGCCTTAAAAGGGCAGTTCATAGGGCTCTCTCATATTTACCAAGACTATGAGACATTGTGCATCAACAGCCAATGTCATTACAGAGTTTAAGGCTTGGAAAATATATGCAAATGGAAAAAAACCCATAATCATGACCAAAAATTGTTCACACAAGGTTTTCTTCCCTTAAAAGACAATCTAAAAGAAAACTTACAATTTCTTGTGCTGAAACACAAAATGGAGCTGTTCTTTGAAAAATATTAGGTTCTTGTTGGTGCCATGTAGTGAAGGTTACCAAGGAGCCATCAGACCATTCAAAAACAACTGGGGTTTTGTTGCTGCTCAGGCCAATCCATATTTCAGTTACATTTTCTGTAAAAAAGGGGGTTTAGATTTTGATGAAACAAAAATAATGGCAGATGTTTCCATAGAATTAATAGTGCAGTTTAAAAATTATTCACACTTTCAATCAATATTACCTTTTTCAGAAAAAATGGAATTACATGGACTTTTAAAAAAATGTACACCTTAGATGTGCTTCTTCTTTTATTACACTTGAGAATCAAATGGTCTGCAAATTCCCACAAAAATTACCAGTATATTTATCTACTCATGGAATGCAAGGGGTAGAAAACATGGTATGGATATGAAAGGTGCCTGTGGAATAGCCTTCCTCTACACTCGACCATTCTACAGTTGACATTAGGCCCTGGCAGCTACAGAGGGCACATCACATGCCTCACTGTCTACTCAGGATAACTGAACTTGTAAAGCAAACAGTATCATAAATTATCTCTGCTTTAAGTACTGATAGGGATTATTGAACAGTTTGGGAGCAGTTAGCCACAGGTAACAGGAGAATGACAAGAGCCAGAATTTACAGGGTTTATCAGGAATTTAGAATACCATATATACCCCAATCTAGGACAACCCTGAATTTAAGACAGCCCCCCTCAATAATTAGATTATAAACATGGAACGTTGATAAGTTGTTATAATTTTCCATGTATAAAATCTAATTATTGGAGGATGATCTTAAATTCATCCTTACAACCACTGCAGTGAGTAAAGCACTAGTAGGGGAGGAGGTAGTAGGGTGGCAGATAGTAGGGCAGGTGGTAGTTGGGGGGACAGGCAGTGGGGGAGGCAGTAGAGGTAGGGAGTGGGGGAGAGGCAGTGGCAGGGGCAGGCAGCTTTCTCCCTACTGCATGTCCCACCTTACCTTCCTTTGTTCCTGCCCCCCACAGGCCCTTCTCTGCCTACTCCCTGTTTCTCCCTTCAACAGCCTCTGGTCCCCCCAACAACTTACCCTTGTTCCAGCACTGATAGGCTGTGCCCCTGCTGCAGCCTGGGGCATGAAGCATGGCCCCAATTCAGTCACATAGCAGCAGTGCAGCCAGCACCACTGCTACAGAGCCAGGCTTGGGCCACCCTCTGTGCCCCATGCTGGAGCAGAGGTGGGGGGAACAAAGGAGATGGGGGTGGACAGCCTGGGGGAAGGAGGGCAGGAGCCCAAGGCTGTGGAGAAGCAGAAGTAGAAATGGGAGTGGGGAGATGGGAGGGAGGGAAGGGATGTGGGGAGGCAAGGTTGAGATGATGGGAGAAAAGGTGGTGTGCAGAGGAGGTGGGGGGAGGGGCAGGCAGTAGCTGCAGCTCCAGTCCCTACCCAGAACCAGAGCTGGAGCAGCTACCTGCCCCCTGCTACCTCATGTTAAATGGGGAAATAAAACCTTGGAATCAAGTAAATATGGTATGCCAAGGTCTATGGTAAATGACCCTGTTTTTTCATATTACTGAGTACACTACTTGACCAACAGACTCTGATGATCATCCTATCTTCTGGGCCAATGGTCATCAATGTTTTGGCCACACAGACCAGATGAGAGGCATGGGGCCAGTTCATGGGCTAGATCAAACCTCACATACCAGGATTGGGCTCCAGGGCACCGTAGCACCCCTTGCTCAGTCCCTTGTTCTGGGATTGGGGTCCTTGTGCCACCTGCGCCCAGTGCCACATATGGGAATTCGGGTGGGGGCCCCCCACTACCCTTACCCACTCCTGCATGACGGACCTATGCTCCAAGAGCTGTGTGCTACCTGCACCTCATCCCACAAGTGGGAATCAGGCTCCAGGGTCCTCATGCCGAACATGCCCAGTCTTGCATGCAGGGATCAGGCTCTGGAGGCCCTGTGTTACCGCCATACACCAGGGTTGGGGCCTGTGCCACCCTGTACATCTGACCTAGTGCACAGGGCCATGGCCTGTGGAACCACGGGGAGGCCTGCAGACTGGATGGCACAGCACCAAGGGCTGGATCTAGCCCATGGGCTGGGATTGAGCACCTCAGTTCTAAGCAGCAGACCTTACAAAAAAAAGGGGTGAAACTGCATTGACTAGTTCTCATCTTGTACAGAGTCCTTCATCATCTTCATACCCCTGGGGTAGCTAATAAGAAACACTTTAGGATGCTAGAAGGAGTCAGCCTCAAATTATTGTTCTCTTATGAATCGATGGAACCCAAACATACTGTCTATATAACAAACAGCATTCAACATTTACATGGAAACCCACAATCTGAACACTTTGTTCATACAGAAGAATATCACTGAAAGAAAACCACAATACAGAACATAAACTAACTTGCAGGACTTACCAATTTCAAGAAGGTTAACAAGTAACTCAACATCTGCCAAGGAAGTTATTCTAATGAGCTTGCTATTATCATTTTGGCAAGAGAGTACTGCATCACTCCAATTCTTTTCCTCTTTATGAAGTTTATAGCAGTTGCGGTTATAAGGATACCAATCAGTGTCACAGCGGGTAGGATAATACTTCCATGAATCTTTTAATTAAAACATACAAGATAGAACGCATTACATAAATTTAGTTGTAAGATTAGGCTAAAGTGTTTTCATATGGCATTAATACCTATTTTCTTATTTACAAGAATTGGAAATATAAAGGCATTCAAAACAATTCAATAATGAAAAAATAGCATGTGTACACAGTGACACACCTGCAGACAAAATAAAATTCCCAAAATTTATTTGCAGTAGCATAACTATGGAGGGTGACCAGAGCACCAGCCCTGGGTGCTGATTTGGGGAGGGAGGTGCAGAAAAAGCAGCTCCCATGCTACTAGACTATCACTGCCAACAGCCCAAGTGCAGCTGTCATCTCTGTGTGCCACTAACTCCCTGTGCACTAAAACACCTAGCTATGCCTCTGTTTAAAGGTATGGTCATTTGAGCTACAAATAAGTCTCTAGGAGGCTTGCTGAAGGCATTTTATTTTTAAAATTTAGCTATACTGTAACTACAAGAAGAAGACGAAAAGAGATAAACATTGCAATTGGAATGGTTACATACCAAACTATTAGCCTACCTTACCCTATCACATTTTGGGTCTAATCCGAACCCCACTAAATTCTTTCCATTAACTGCAAAGGGTCAGGTCCTGTTTAGAGTTCAAAACAAGAAAAATACTTCGTTTACTAGGAAAAAAAAAATGTGACTATAATTGTCATAATAAGCAAGTCTGACTCCTAAGGAGAATTCTGAGCCTTTCAATAAAAGAGTTCTATTTTTTTTCTATTTCTGTCTCATGTAACGTTTTTTTGTGAGGTTAATGTATAAGAAGATGCGAGTTCCATGATAAGAACATAACTGTAAAGCCTGGGTTTCCCTTTGTATCAAATGCTCTTTTCTTTGGGCATTTGGTTAATTCTTTTGAATTGTCAAAGTGTTCTGAACCTAAATGTACAAAGGGTAATGTTGCCTAACCCAAATAGATTCAGCATGACCATTTTGTACATTTTTTTGATGATATGAAGACCCACATAAGTGCTGTATTATCAGCCTTATGTTTACTAAAATGGTTTAGCAACAACTTCTGCAAGTTCTCCAATAATCTGAGGAAAGCTTGAAAGAAGCAAGGATGTTTAGTTTGGAAGAAAGGAGTTTAAGAACAGATGCGATTAGCAATTTCCAAATATTTTAAAGGCCTCCATAAAGAAGTGGGAGGACAAATGTTCTGCCACACTACAAAGGGCAGGGCACGAAGTAATGAATAACAGATGAAATAAAACAGATTTAGATTAAAACGCAGAGAAAACTTCTTACTGACACAAATTTAGGACAATGGGACATATAGGGAAGTTGTAGGGAGCTAATTAGAGATTTTCAAGAGGCTAAATAAGTGCTTGATAAGTCTGATTTAGGAAAAACGCACCCTGAATTTGTGTAGGGAGTTGGAATAGACCTGTAAGGTCCCTTCTAATCCTCATTCTATGTACTTTAACTGAAGGCTCATAAAAAGTTACATTAGAACAGAAACAAAAGGTTAGATCCTTAGCTGGCTTAAACAGCCAGAAATACAATGCATTAGTTTAGTCCAGGAGATGATCTGGCCCAGAGGCTTTACATGTAGATGGCTTTATCTTACATTCCTTGCACACCCCAAAATCCTTCTGTAGTCTTCAAAGCACAGTATATTTTGTAATAAATTGCAAAAGGAAACAACAGATTAAAAATACATGCCAAATATAAGCAATGGACAGAACACCATCATAAGAGAGAGGGTGAAATAAAATATACTGTTTTAGTGAGACTTACCAAATGTTTTATGCTCTGTACTATTTAAATATTTTTTGCATATAAAAGGAAATAAAGATTCACATATTTTACTTTGCCAGCTATATTGCATCTGTGGATTAAGCGCCACACAGTGATTTTCTTTAAGCGAATCCTCAGCAGAGCCTGCAAATAGAATTTTGAAAAATGTAAAATAAAGTAAAAATCACTTATTTGTAAAACTGACTCATAGTTCTCTATAAATGTTACTGTACTGATATACAAACAAAAGCCTCTATCAAGTTAAGCCACCTTTCCTATCAACACTAAGTTACACAGAGGACCTGTTTGAATTCACAGGAACTGGATAACTGAACATCAGTCACAATATATATTTATTTGCACATCTTCACTTGCCAATGCTGTGACATGAGATATCTGAGAAGTTCCAAGGTCTCCATTTTCTGTTCCAATAAATAGACCTCAAAGATGGAACAAATCATGTCACAGAGCTTCCCATACTAATGTAAAACTAGTCAATCAAAAATTCTTTTCCCCAGAAAACATAGAATCCATATTTTAAAAATATATTTAACAAAACACTGTCAATCACGATCATGAAAATTCCTCCAAAAGCAAAAGGGCAAGACTCCTAGTTGCTGTAAATTCATATAGTGAATTTCAGCACTATCATTGTCCAGCTTATGTGCTTGGTCATCAGTGTGAAAAAACCTGCCCACAAAAATAGTACATCATTTCATGTAGTTCATTTTTCAGATAAGTAGCAGTTGCAGGAACAGTACTCTTATATTTTAACTTCAGTAACAGAGAGCATATAATACAGTGCTTATACAGTGCTCTAATATATCCAAGAAGAACATCAAGTACTTGGTCTCCAGTTCACAAATGCCAATGGTGCTCCATCTGACCACTGCCAGCCGGCAGCTGCATCCAGTTGATTCAGGCCTGTCCATAGCATAATTTCAGTAATGTTTAACTTCTCTGAAATAGATGAAGGAGAAAAACAGACATTTCTTTCATGCTTTATAATACCTGTGGATGCAGACAGGCTGCTATCAAATTGTATGACAAAAAACAGTCAAAATTAAAAAAAAGTCATTAATAAGTGCTTAAGAATACCACTACAGCCAACAACCCTAAAAATACTACTGGCATTTACCCTCACTTCTTGATTAGGTTCACTTTAATTAGTAATTAATATAATACTGAAAAAACAACAAATGTAGCTAGAGATGCCACAATTTACACATAAATGTGCAGACATTCAGTAACTGCACAGTATGCAAATCTTTGCAACACAATTCTCTGCTACTTTTAAAACTCACAACATCCATCTATCTCATCAACATGACTTTCACATCAAACCGTTTCAGCTCTTCTAGACCAATATATAACAAACATGATTTTAAGGCGAATTATTTATAAAAATGTTTAGTTCCTTCACTTAAAAAGCTTATGCACTAGTGAAAAATGAATGTCAGACTTTCCTGTTTGCTATATCCTGTTATTGCAAGTAACAATAATAGGAAGCAAGTTGTTATCTGCAAAGAGAGGAAGTAATGAGATTTGGAAATATAGGTCTTTAGACCCCAATTCTGTAACCCTCTACCTTCACTGATATCTTCAACTCACATTAACAATATTACTGAGTTCCTAAGTATCAGAATCAAACAGGGCTAATTAAAGACTTTTTCTGCACACAGGAAACAAAAAGCATACCAAAGAAGCGCTTTATACTTATGAAGAAAGCACATCATTTCCCCATCAGGATATTTACTTCAACCCCCCTGAACATTTAGTGGTCATCCTAACCCAGTTAATCTAGTCACTATTAATTGTGACACTGAGAATGAGGCATAGCCTTCATTTAAATGGATTTTTTACATTATTTGCATAATTCTCCAAAGAAAATGAACATTTTTGTAGCCATAGGTACAAGAACAGGATAACAAGTGTAATGGCAAATCATTCAGAAGGGTAAAGGATTAGTAAAAGATAACTGCAGTAGCGCATATAAAACCTTTGAACTTGAGTAGTAAACCTACAGCTTATTTAACCTATAGTTTATTTAAACCTTTACTGGAGCTTTACTGGAGCACATGATGTGGAAAGACCTTGAAGATAGCAGTGGAAAATGGTGAATACTATTATCGGTATGTACTGAGTAATCTCTCTTTGCAAACCTATGGAAGTCCTTCTACCTGAACAAACTATGGGTGTGATTCTGCAGCTCTGAAGGTTAAGAGACCTGATTTAGTTATGAACTTCCCTAAAATTTAGGGCTGTTTGGGTGTAAGTTTTGCTTTGAGCCGGTCCCCATAAAACACTATAATCGACGCTTTTGTTGAAATCCTAGCTCTCAAATTCTCATTGACTTTAAATTCAATTCAAATTTTCATCACTTGCACCATGCAGCCAAGCAAGCTAAGCATGTAACGTATAAAAGACATACTCACCACTTTGGTCACTTATGTACTTCTGTTCTTCCATGTCTGTGATGCTTAGCAAATCTCCTCCTTGTGCCTGACATGCAGCACGTGCCTCATTCCAAGGAAGAATAGAAAAAATATTGAACTGGTAACAAATGTGTGTGTCAAGGTTCTTCTGCCAAAAAGTGTCACAGCCAGTCTCTGCATGAGATGTCAGTTAAGAACAGAATATTACAAACCAATTGGATAGAAAGTACTATAATATAACAATTTAGCTAACACTGAACACCAAGAGGGCATGCAATGGAAGCATGGTTATGAACTCATTTTCAGTGCTCTGATGTCAAAAGTATACAAGGAAGTTGGAGGCTATTTGAAATTAAAACAATTCATATACATAATGACCTAGTTGGCTTTTCATAATGTTAGTAAATATGAGGAGGCCAAACTCAGCTGATTTAATTTGTCAGAGGTCTAATTAAGTCAACAAGAATACTGGCAATTTATACCAGCTGATGATCTGCCTCTAGGAACATAAAGGTGTAACTGAATCACTAACTTTCTAGGAGCAGGGTGAACCACGCCCATGCTACTGCTGAAGAGAGAAGGAAGATTAATTTCCCCTTATCAGAGTATACTCAGGGAATGAAATATTATACATGCTTGTTATAGTCATAATTGGCAATACTGAAGTTATCTATGTTGTGCGACTGACTGCCTTGGGCAGAATTTATCTGGGAAAATTTTAGCCCAAATAGTTCGGCTGATTCCTAGAACAAGGGAAAATTATGTTTTCTCCCATTTAAAAATGATCCGTGTTGGATCCAGAGATTGGACTCAGAAGAGTATTAATATGGTGTCACACAATGGAATTTTTTTTAGATTGCTTTGTAAAAATTTAGGAACCTCTCTCTCTCACCCATCCACCCCAGCTGTTTTTTTTTACTGGGGTTCTTTGACATCCTGCCTCTCTCCACTGCTTTGCTGCTTATCCCAGAGCAAACTAACATTTGCCCCCGGGTTAACTTCTTACCCAGTAAACCTTAGTTCCAACTGTTCCAGTCTGAGCCTTGTACCTCCAGCAGAGGAAGTTTTGCCAGTTTATGAGTAATATTTCTAGGGTTTATATAAAATTATAGGTCCCCTCTCCCATAAAAGAGAGAATCCTGAGGCCACCAGCAGCTCAGAAAATCACCTTTACCACAGGCAATCAATACAATAAACAGAATAGCAAAGTCATTACACAAACAAGAAAAATCACATATAGAAGCAACTGCGGGTTGTGGGGACAGAATACAAGAAAATAACTATAACAATTAAAGAAGGATCTTGCCCTGCATTTCTTACTAAAATACAACACCACTCTCTGCCCAGAGAGTTGTCCTGCTCTTTCCTGACAAAACTTTCCTGAAAGCAGCTTCTCATCTTGCAGTCCTATCTTCCATCAACTTGGGAACAAAATTGCCTAAAGCCTAGAAATCTCTAGACCCTTTTGCCTTATCCTGCACATCTATGCACCATCACCTTATCTACTCATCTATATTTTTCTATTCAATGAGAATTGCAGCTTATGCATACTATGCAGATAACTTCCTCCCCACAGATATGCAGCTGTCTGCCATGCTAGATGACATTCCTGATCTACAATTACATGTTTTCTTGAATATGACATACCTTTTTATGATGCGCCACTGAAAAAACAAAACCCCCGCTGCTGGAAACTGGAGTGCAGATTATATGTTAGGAAACATGGCAAGAGCCATTTCTGCTGCTTACTGGATAAAAGTGAACGTAAAATCTGCATGTAATCCACACGCGGTGCATCTACACATGCTATTACAGGGGCAGGCAAGTATTTAAACTGGAGGGCCACTTAACGAATTTTGGTGAGCTGTCAAGGGCCATAAGGGTAGCCCTGCCCCTCAACAGGTGCCTTGCCCCCTTGTCACCATCTTGGGACCAGAAGTCCCACCCCTAACCCCTGACCCTTGCTACTGGAAGTCCCTCCTCTTGCCCTGGAAGTACTCCTGGGAGGAGGGGGGGGTGTTACCATCTTCCAATCACAAAAAAACTAAATTGTATACTAAAAATCACACATAGACAATAACATATTCTATTTCGAAAAATATTTTTGTCCTGATTTGTGTGAGTGCTTTTTGCATATATAGAGGTGATTGTATAATAGCTTAAAATGAAGTCTTACTCTTGTACATTGGGGGGAG